AACTGATAATCGAGTAAGTAAAATGTTTCCCCAAATTTTGTGAACTACTCTAGCAAATTCACTGAACCTGAGGAGGGGGTCCAATCTATAACCAGTTGGTCAGAAGCACAGGTAACAACTTGGACTTGTGATTGGCATCTGAAGTGGGGAGGGCAGTCTTGTGGGACTGAATCCTTAACCTGTAAGATCTGATGCCATCTCTCGGTAGATAGTGTCAGAATTGAGTTAAATCGTAGGACACCAAACTGATGTTGTAGAATTGTTTGGTGGCCCAGAGAGGACCTCATACACAATTGAGAATCAGAAGTGCCAGTGTCAGAAGTGAAGTATGAGTAGTATTCAGAGCACTGTGTGTCATATAAATGAAAACAATATAGTTTTTCTCCACACTCATGCAGTATATTTTGCATCCAGATATCATATTTTCTAATCTCTCAGCTTTTAATTTGTCTTTTTCTGTCTTCTCTGTCTCTTCTGAACTTTTTAGACATATTGAATGTAACTATTTTAATGTTCTCCGTTCATTCAAATGTCTGTGTCAATTCTGGGCCAGTTTTTATTGATTACTCTCATTATAGGTCATGTCTTCCTGTCTTGTTGTGTCTTTGATTGGATGCTAGAAATTGTGAGTTTTACCTTGTTGGGTGTTGGATACTTTTTATATTCTTATAATTTTCTTTAGCTTTTTTCCTGGGATAAAGTTCAGCTACTTGGAAACAGTTTGATCTTTTCAGGTCTTGCTTTTACGCTGGTTAGGCATTTTCTGGAGCAGTGCTCAGTCTAGGGCTAATTATTCCTCAACACAGAAGGAGGAGCTGCCTGAGTACTCTACCCAGTGCCCCATGAATTATGAGCCTTTCCAGTCTGGCCGATGGAAATAGGCATTGTTCCTGGCACTCACTGTTTCCTCTAACTCTCAAATGGTTTATCCTTGGCCTCACATGCATGCACTCATCAGTATTCTGCTGAACACTTAAGCAGCTCTCTCTCTTTCAGCTGTCTCATCTCTGATACTCTCTCCTAAACACTGTGACTGACTTGGTCTCTGGACAGTCACCTTCCTCTTTTTAACTCAGGGAGTCTTCCAGGCTTTCCCTTAGTGCCCCCTCCTTGCGCTGAAGCCTGGAAACTCTACCACAGCAGTGAACTGGGGCAATCATAGGACTCACCTTGTGTATTTCCAGGGTCATTCGTTGCCTGGTGTCCAGTGCCTTGAAAACTGTTATTTTATATATTGTGCCTGTTTTTTGCTTGTTTGTTGCAAATGAGGTGGAAAATCCAGTCCCTCTCTTCCTCTCTTCCACCTATGTGCCAAGCACTGTATTAAGTATACACAGGTGAACCAAAAAGTCATGGTCCCTGGTCTCATGGCAAATCTGTCCTACGGGGATCAACTTGTGTGAAAAGGCAATAAATGTCCTAGTCCCTGGATTTATGCACACCAACATGAATCGTGCGTGCTCCTTCCTCTCAAGGACTTCAGAATTAGGTGAGACTAAGGCAAATTTGTTAATACAGAGCAGACTGTGCAAGTATTATATATGAGATAAAAGGCTCTGGGCATATTGTGGAAGTAATGCATTTGATTGGAGGCATAAAGGAAACTTCACAGAGAAGGCGCGTTTGAGTCGAGCCTTAAAGAGTGAGTGTAATTTTGCCTGGTGGAGAAGTAGAAAGAGGTAGAACATTTGGAGTGCTTTTAAACATGAAAATAGTTAATCATGACTTTTTTTGGCAGACACAGCCATCCTTCATGTTCTCCTTTGCCAACAAAACCCTAATCATGTGCTTCAGAGGAAGCTGTGTGCCTTCCAGCTCCAGGGAGTGAATCTCAATTTGTCTATATCAGCCCTGGAAATTTCATCCCCATTGTCTGTCACCAGATCAGGCAGTGGCATGTGACAAAATTCTGGCCAATGAGATGTAAAAGAAAGTCTGCTAGGGAAGTTTTTCTCCTATTAAGGGGAAGAAACATTCCTCTTTCCCCTGCCTCTGAGGGAAAAACAAAAACAAAAACCCCAGAAAATCTGTTTCCCTGTTGATGTCGTCAAGCCACTTGAATTATCCAATCTGAGATCGATCTAACTGGAGACTTCTTGGTACAGGAGATGATCAAGTTTTCTTACCATTTAAGTAACTTCTGGCTGGATATTGTTGTAGTGGATGTATTACTTGCAGCCGGATGCAGCAGAGGCACACACCCTGACTATCAACTCACCTAACTGAAACTTGCTTTTCTTTTCCCACAGGTTCAACTCACTGCTAAATGTCACTCTTTTGCTTCTGGTTTCTTTGCCTCAACAAGAATGGAGATTAACCTAAGAGATGACAATGTACTTAGCTATACATGCACATGGGAAGAAATAAAAAGCAATTTTAAAAACAAAAGAAAGCAATTACACAGTAAAATACCTTGACTAGTACTAGTCACTACTCTTGATCTTTTGTTTGAGAAGACTTTACTCTCACAAGGCAGTAGAAGGATGAAAACACAAAGGAAGAGAGTGTAGGCAAGCCCAGAGAAAATTATATAGACTCCTCCACATTCACAGCTCTGCTGGAATTCTCTAGGAATTCCCATGGGAGACAAGACTACCTCTGGAACAATCTAACTGTTGGAAACCACTAGTGTCTGGCAGGAAGCCAAGTAGAACAGGAGCAAACGCTTTGCTTGTCCTCATTCCTGAGAGTCTGGATCAATCCCAAGGGCCCAGCCCAGCCTAGCCTGGGGCAAAGCTGTGACTAAGCAAAGGCTGTCTTCAATCTCCACCCACTTTCTCATTCCCTTCCTGGTCCTCTTTTTCTAGCTCTGATCTCTCTCTGTGCCTCCTCCCACACCTCCTTCCCCTCTCCCACCCCCTCAGCAATTCACATCCTGCTGTCTGGTGAGCTCAGAAGGCACTAAGCCACCCACCTCCCGGTCCTTGTATTTTAATAGGGAGCTCTTACACATCCAGAGTAATGCTTCTGTATTGCTAGAAATTCAAGCCTCTAGACTGGCAGTTGGGGACATGTCTGTTCACGAGCACAGCACTTCCTGTCTCATGAAAAGTCAGCCTAGGTGGGGTGAGGCACCAAGGACTACATCCCCAGGTCTCACTGCCAGCTGATGGGGAGGTACAGGGTCACAAGGACATGACCTCAAACTCCACTTCTCTCTGCCAGCTCACACATAGGACCTTATCCTCTTCTCGTATACTCACACCCCTGATGCCTGGCTTATTTTACTCACCTTTAGTCTCAATTTAGACGTCTCTTCCTCCAGGAGGCCTTCCCCAACAGATCCCCAGGTCTGAGTCCTGTCCCCCATCATACTGAGTGCCTTCCTCCTGGAGCATTTGCAACCTGTGGCTGCTCAGTAAACCAATACCCAGTATAGCAGTGACTTTTTGCAGGTGCTTAGTTTATCAAAAGAATGAAGGAAGGAAAGAAGGAATGAATATCTGTTCACATACACTATCACTCTTCAGAGACCATGACTGTGCAGTTCCTCTTTGAACTCTCAGCACCTAGTCCAGTGCTTAGGCCGTGGGCACACACGGTTATTTGTTAATTGATTAAAAGAAGTCTTCATAAGGTACCTGCATTTTATACTGCTGTTGACAATGTCCAGACATTCTTAATACAAGGGCAAGAAGCACAGACCAGGAACCTTTCCTAAGCTATCAGGGATGGAAGACAAAGCAGGCACAGCTACTCTGGGAGTGTAGCTGTCCAGGGCTGTGCGGACCCACTCCTTTCTTCAACCAGTTTTAGTTCTCTAGGGATTCTTAACCCTGGGCTCGCTGGTGAGGCTTCAGAAGCTGCAGGAATCCTCTGACACTGTAATCAAACACCCATGCCAGTAACTATGCATTTTTCTGGAGGGTCCATGGCTTTCAATGAGTCTCAAAAGGCTGTGACACAAAAAAAGAATCATTGCTCTAGACTTGCACTGTCCAATATGATACTCACTAGCCACAGGTGGCTATTTAAGTTTAACCGTAAATTTTCAATGCCTCTCATACACTAGCTGCATGTCAAGTGTGCTCAACGGCCACTATCTATCGGACCGCCCAGTTACAGAACATTTTCATCATTGAAGCAAGTTCTACAGTTTCTTTATATTGGTAGCGTTACTCCAGAGTCCATGTACAGACGAGATTTGAGTCATGTCCTGCTATTGTAAAATGAGTCGCCATCGTTTAGAAATGAAAACGTAAACACCTGAAATCCTGATTTCTTTTGGGAACAGGACTATCTGCCAGCTTTGGGCCTGCATTCCTCCTAGCCACTGGAGTACACAAGGCTGCTAGGTTTAGATGAACCCTCCATTACATTAAGTTACCTGCTTGGCCCTCCTGGACATTTGAGTTTCTCGGTGACCTCGCCCACCCTGGTCTCCTTCCTGTCACCTGTGTTTGTAACCAGGTGGGATTCGGTTTAAGTGCACATCTGGGGCAAGGTCTGGGGCTGAGACTCAGGCACCCAGCAGAAAGCCGAGGTGGGGCAGCGCCTCCCTCCTTTCAGTTCTCTGGAACTGGAAGAAGAGAGGGAAATTTATCCTGAACATCTGTTGCTTGACAAAGAACTTCTTCCCAGTCTTCCTCCGAGCCCTCCAGTCCCTACCCCAGCACGCCTGGGCCCGCCCCTGGCGACGAGCTCGCCGGGAGGGGCGGAGGC